GAGAGAATGCAGATATATCTACACACACACACACACACACACACACACACACACACACACACACACACACACACACACACACACACACACACACACACACACACACACACACACACACACCTCATTCAACCACCTTGAATGAACCGCTCAAGCCCGCGTATTTTAAATTACTTTTAATAACAGAATATTTGCAGCTAATTGCCGTACGAGAGCGTCAAGCACCTACTTCCTGTGATTGGAATGCGTCACATTCAGTAACCCAGATTAATTAATGTCAAGTTTATCATTAAGAGTAAAGCGTTTATTTCTTAATTCAATTATCATTCATTAAACCAACAACAGTCATCATCGTTACTAATGGGCATCGAAAAGCCTATTTATTGTGGCATTACAGCGGTGCAGCACTAGTTCATTTCTCATTCAAGGTAACAGAGGTTTCATTCAATTAAAAAGCATCGCACCCTCTCTCTTCAGACATTTCTTAGCATGAAACGTAATCATTTCAGAGTGTCCCTGAACCAAGTGTGATTTTTGACTTCTTGAATAGCAGATAGTTTATTTTAAGTTATAACAGCTCCAAATAGATATAACAGTATGATACATCTGTATATTTGTATTATTGGTAAGTGTTATTTTGTTCTACAATGCATAGAAATAGGAATAGACGATAACCAGAATACAGCCAATTCAAGGGTGGTTATGTAGGGCACATGTGTATGTCTACGAAGAGTGTGTGTGTGTGTGTGTGTGTGTGTGTGTGTGTGTGTGTGTGTGTGTGTGTGTGTGTGTGTGTGTGTGTGTGTGTACCTGGCCGGCTGCCTGGATGCTGAGGATAGCGACTCGTGTCTCCGGGTCGCTCTGGAACTTGTTGACGAGCTGCATTCGTTCTGACGACGGGACGCTGCCATCGATACGGATGTAACCAGCCTTAAAGGAAACAGAACAAATAATAAATTCCTGTTGAAGTTAGTCTAATTGCTACTGACTTGTTTCTTTGTCACTTTTTGGGATTTGTTAGATGAGTTTCAAGATAAGAGGGTGGATGATTGTATTATGTTGTTTTATATATTTTGTAACCCTTTCAAAAGTTACATATTCCCACTTTAAATTTCAACATAATACCCTTTTTTAAGGCCACACTAACCAAGCCTCGTCTGTTATTTATCACAGGTGTATTAGCAGAGAAGCGTGCCCCTTCAATAAGTGGAAGAGATAATGCCAGTGTGGTTGTTGGTACATTGTGTTGAGTTAAATGAACACAGAACGACAGCATTGTCAGCGTCTAAAAAGCAGATTTGTGCTGCGAGCGGTGCATTAACCCGTCTCCTGTACCGGAGATATTTCAATGACAGACGTGTGAATGAAAACACGATCGGACGAGCCGCAGTGAACGAGCTGATCTAATATGTTGTAACACCTAACAAAGAGAGCAGCGGCTGTGTGTTCATCAAACCTGAACGGGAACTTGACACTGGCTGAGCCGCTAATGCACTCTTTTGATTTTGGCTCATCGCTCCTGCAGAGCAGCTCAGCGGACGACAGCAGGAGACGGTCTAATAACGGCATGAATATGAAGCAGAACTCTGCGAACAAAAGGTCAAATAAATGGGCTTATTGAGAGAGCAAGACCGTAAAGACAGGGCACTAACACTGTGGTATATATACTAGTTTAAAACAATCACTACTTCATCAAACAAACCCTCTAACATCTCCGGCAGCAGGTGAGAAATGGAGCCAAGAAGCAGGGATAATATCATGTGATCGCTTGGTCTCGTCGTTCCTTTGGTGAACCCATCTCTGTTAATTAGTGAAATAAATGGGCTTATTGAGAGAGCAATACCTTAATGACATTGTATTATCACTGTGGTATATTTACTACTTTAAAACATTCACAACTTCATCAAACAAACCTTCTAACATCTCCGACAGCAGGTTGTCTCGTCGTACCTTTTTGAACCCGTCTCTGTTAATTGGTGAGTGTGAACGCTCCGGAGAGTGAGCGTCTCACGCAGGAATGTGCTATCACACGTCGTACCGCTGCATTACCTTCTACGACACCTCCGCGACCCCTGCGCCCCACACACACACACACACACACACACACACACACACACACACACACACACACACACACACACACACACACACACACACACACACACACACACACACACACACACACACACACACACACACACACACACACTGTTTCACAGGTTGCTGGCGTCAAGCTCAGAGAAAGCGTGTGCATGTGATGACTTGTGAAACACGTCTTGGGGGATTAGTTGTGGAAGTAAAGTTTACTTTCTTCGAGGAAGTTGACTTTTTTCCTTCAGGATTTCGACACTTTTAAGATGATGATTAAAGGGGCTGCTCATTCTTTTTACTTCCACCTTGTGATTTTAGCATTTAGCAGAAACCTATATAACACACTAAAGGAAAGGGGAACCCCAAAAAGCATAAAAGGGCACTGGAAAAAAATGCTGCTCCAAAAACAAGTTAAACAATAATGAAAACAAGCTGAAATAAGTACAAAAATCTGCCAATAAACAAGTGAAAGTTTGCTTGGTAAGAGTTCTTGAAATAAGAAGGGATATTTAGATAAATCCGATCTTGTAATTAGCTAGGAGAACTCATTTTGAACTATATTTGACCAGAATCAGGTAATGTTGTGTTGCCAATGCTCAAAAGTGTTCTGTTCTCTGATGTAAGTGTTTCATCTGAGATACGAATCAAAATAAGATTGTGTTGACTTAAAGGTAGGGTAGGTAAGAATGGAGAGACCAGCTCGAATGCGCTAGAATTTGAAAGTGGACAACTGGAAAAAATCTGCACCTATCCTTCGGACTTCCTTACAGAGCCCCTCCTCCAACACACACGAACGCGCACATGACCAATGAGGGCACGAGATAAGTTTGTGCACAGATGGAAGGCTGACAGGCAGGTAGGCCATCCAGTTACTTTAGCCGGCTCAGATGATTGGTCGTGAATTTACAGCGCCACGGCTTCCACACATGAATTATTTTATGTATTTATTGTCAAAGCATGTAATGTATTCATTACGGATGTAACGATATATCGAATATCGCGGTAAATAAATGTCTCAATACCGTCGTGAGACTGACAAAATCAGTTAGTCAGTCATGTTTCATGTTGTTTATTTTGTATTGTTTTTCACTTCCTGTTTGGTTTTGGTCACGTCTCATTTCAGGTCCCTTGACTCCCTTTCCTTATGTGTTCTCCGGCCCTCATCAGCGTCGCTGATTGTTTTCACCTGTGTCTCGTTGTTGAGTGTTTAAATTCCCCACTCTCCCAGTGTTCAGTTCGTCCTGTCCTCATGACAAAACTCTGCTCATCACGTTTGCTCTTTTTTGTTACATGCGTATTCATGCTCCTGAAACTTATTGTAAGTGATTTTTTGTTGTGCTTTTGTAAAGTCTATTTTTGTTCGCCTTGTTAAGAGTGCCGATATCTTTTTGAGAATATCTTTTTATTGGCAAATAAAGTATATTACCGGTACTTGTACTTTTATCTCTGGCTCCCGGGTCGTGCATTTGAGTCCTTTTCTTCCTTGTGTATCCAAGTTCGTAAGAATATCTCTCTGTCCCAGCAACATCAGTACCAAGCAAGAGAGTTTTTTTCCACAGCAGGGGATATTGCAAAACGCCCAAACATACCCAGCTTCCACCTGGAAATGTGGACATGCTCATATTCCTAAAAGATAACCTTGATG